TCCTATGGGCATAGGGCTACACAATTTGCGTTATTTCATGATTCGGCGTGCTGTCACTTACTGAACTGTATGTTAGTGTGTTGTCACGTGGAACATTTTGAGAAACACTACAAGCTTAGCACTGCGATGGGGTCCAATGGCCTTGGGGTAGCTCATGCGGTCAGTCGGCGGCTTCTCATCTCAGTGCCCCATCTCAGTGCATGTGGGGTTTGTAGTGGACAAAGTGGGTCTGGGGGCACGATTTATCCGAGTGCTTCGGTTTCCCCTGCTAATTCTCACACCACCAAGTGCTTCATTTCCCTCAATGTGCCAATAAAGACTTAAGTCCCACGAGATTCAATTTCAGCTTACCCTAAAGAAATTATAAATACGAGTAACAAATGTTCAAACCTCACAATTTCCTTCTTTCGGAATTACGTAAATCCAATGTCTGCTATCCTCCCTTCCATCCTAGTATAGAAGCCGGGATATTGTAGTTGGTATAGCGACTGGCTACGGGCTGGACCGCCGAGGGGTCGGAGTTCGAGTCCCGGTAGAGGCTAGAATTTTCACTTCTTCATGTCAACCAGGCCGGCTCTGGGACTCTCCAATCCAATGTGTACCGGGGGCTCTTTCGCTGGGGGTAAAGCGGTTGGGGAGTGAAGCTGACCACTCACCTCCAACTAATGCCGAGGTTAAGAAAATGTGGATCTATACATCCACTCCTTCATACGCCTTCATTGTGTTGTGTTTATTTATTTAAACACAAGGAAAAATGTACCATCATAATATATTCCTCCAATATAAACATTGATCTCTTACTGACATTGTCTAAAATTAGTGTAGTCTAGACTAGACTAGTCAGTTCAATTTTCGGAAGGTGACAGCATCACAATGCATCCCGCTCCTCATACGTAAGCGCATGCGTCATGTAAACATATCTTAATAGAAGCTAAGAAAATAGAAATGTTGAGAAATTATGCGTCTGTGGACATAAATAATGTTTCTTGTTTCAATCCGCAAGGAAACCCATCTGCAATTGTAGTGTATGCAAGTTCATATTAATTATGGCTTCTTTAAAATTATCTTAATGTAATATTTCTCATTCATTAATAAAAGGACCACTTGGGAGGCGCGGAGTGTATTTGTGAATAAGGAACGGAAAGGACAGGGAAGCAAGTTGCTGTAGACCAGTCTGATGTAGGCCCATGCGGGATTTTCAATGTCCACTGGATTCGTACTTAAACTATTTAACCGTATACCTTCAACCACTGAAGACGCATATCGTCCAACGATATTGTGTCATGTGGAGCCGTTGCTAGGTAACGACCGCAAAATAATCAACTATACAACAACAGTAGTTAAGTAATGGCTTTGCAAAAAAAAGTCTTTTGTAGTTAATGGCTGAGTAGCGATCACATGAGCACTCCAACAGACACGAACGAAACAATTGCACTGATGTAGAGGGAAGCTGTTTTCTGTGCGGTTCTTGTCGAGGTTTTACAGACAGGACAAGTTAGGCGTTGCAGTGAGTAGAGTAGGTAACCGCTGGGGTTCAGTTGTTGTGAGCTATTGTTGTGAAAATCTGGTATAGCTGAGGCCGGGAAACTTTCGGGGACAGAGAGGAAGGGGAACGTCCGCCGTTGGTAACCGTTACCAAGCAAAGGCTAGTGAAGACCGAGTAGACTGCGTGTGTGTCGTGTGTGGAGTGTGTTAAGTCAGTGAAACTGTCGTAGTTATTTTTAGTTACGTTCTGCAGAAGTCCAACACATGCGACTACTAATCCAAACCCCATCTATGGTCACAGTCATACACGTGACAACATAAATAGGCCTATAATATAAAGCTCTTAGAATGCTCGTTAGGAAGGAGGCATTTATGGCCTACTGATGACGTCATTTCGGCATTGACGTGGAGTGGTAGAGGGTTAGATGAAAAATATGAGGATGTAGGAAGGAAAAGAAAGAGCGAGGGACAAGAAGACATAAGGGACAGTGCGAGGAGAGAGACGTGACAGGATGAGAAGGAGAGATATAGCGAAGTTGTCTCATATATTTACGCACGGTTTGTTCGGCGACGCTTTCAATGATGTCGAGTATGATATGATAATTAGTGAATAATGAGTTCGGATGTAGTGGAAGGAAACGATCGTGTCCTAACTCAACGCACTATTCCGAGATTTGCCGGTCACGGTAGCCGAGCGGTCTAAGGCATGCACTGTCTTCTCTCGCTTGGAAACCGGGATCGTGGGTTCGAATCCCACTCAGGGCATTGATGTTTAGTTTGTGTGTGTGCGTTTTCCTGTGTTTGTGTACAGGCAGAGACCTTGCGACGAGCTGATCACCCACCCAAGGAGTCCTACCGTATGTCTAAGATCTAGAAAAACCGAAGTGAAAGGAGTTCATGGAGGTAGGCCTAGGCCCACTGGGGCTGTAGCGCCAAGGAAAAAAAAAATCCGAGATTTGCTGTGGGAATTGAGGGTAACCATGAATAACCTCAGGTAGGATGGCCAGTCCTCGAACCGAGAATTGAACCACGGACATCCCGAATATGAAGCATGCTGACAATTATTCCAGTTCTACGTTCGGTAATTCGTGTTGTAATTGTCGTAAGTTAAGACATTATTAAAGAAGTTTGCCTCACATGAATTACTTTTGTAATATCATGCAGTATTATGACGTCCTTGTACATAGGCACAGCCTACGGCTGTAGTCGTGCTTATTTGCGAACTGCTTCATGTGAGATCGAAATCGCGGGAAGCACAGTCAACGTTATATTATCTACGCTGTTGAGACAGCAGCTTTGCATAACGTAAGAAACAAACACATTTTACTACATGTTTATTATATTGCATTGTACATTATACCCACTGCTAGGCAACGACTCAGCAAACACGTGTCCGCGATAAACACGCCTCAACCATAGAGAGGCTGTTTTCTACGAGTATGTTGCCCGTGCCGCGACCGTTGCTATGCAATAATACAGTAAACAGGCCTAAAACAACACGAAACAATAGCAGTCAATGTTTTCCGTGGGGTCCGTACAAAGTGTTACAAAGAAGTGTTTGGCAGCATAGAACAATATAGAGTGGAGAGTCGAGTTTCGAGACGCAAGTCTGCCGAGATATGAGCTTGGAATTGAACTGAATTGAATTGAATTGGCAACTGCAGAATAATGGCAAGAGAGAAACTAGACTGTGACAAGAAGACTTCATGTGTGATTTGAAGTAACAGTGAGACGGTTATAAATCCGTTGCTAGGATACGACAAATGAATACTGAGAATCCTAGTGAGTGTGTAACGATGATTTGTAAATTGTGTAGAATAGCGATAACGCTGTATTACCTGTAGTCTCGAGTTGTGTGAATAAGGTGTCAATAAATTCAATCATCCAATCCAATAACAGTCCTTAGTCACTAGCACACGTAACGTTATTAATGACATCAGAGACAGTAGCATAAGTAAGATTTCAATAGCGTGTATTTGAAACAGAAGTGTCAGATTTTGACAACTGTCTTACAGTATGGTCCAGCTATGCAAAGATATTCTGTGTGTTAACTTCAATGAAAATATGTGACAAATGGGATAACACAAAGACACGCACTGCTATTATATGTTGTTAAATAATTGTATTTAAGTGAAAACTGTTGTACGTCGTCTTATCTACCCTTTTTTCAGGGATGAAATATATTATAATCTAAGCTAATTAGCAGAATTCTGGTTAAACTATGAAAAGTGTTACAGATTGTAGGCCTAAATCATAACATAAAAGTAGATAAAATATCCATCTGAAATATAACAAAGTTCAAATGTTTTGTAGCGATGTCATTTGAACTGTCAGTATCGCTGTCATCATGAATGCGATTACAAAATGAAACATGCAGAACCGATCTTTGATTAGACACAACTGCGTAGGAACATGGGCAGCACATCTAACTGCCGGTATCATACTTCATAAAATAATGACCCCCCTTGCTTCATTCATTTTTAATATTATTAATTACTATACAGACCATTCTACTAATACCAGCGTCCGCTAACAAATCAGAATTGAGTTCGCAATGAAGTTAAGAAGAGATCATATTCAGAAAATTATTTACTTCAAAATACTTTTTTTCCTGCCGGCTGCCCCAAAAGCCCGAAAACACTCGTACACATAACTACAGTTTCATCATTTGCTTTACAAGACTGTAAATTGTGACCTTGAGAGATTTTGCTTGGTGCAGCAGGAAGTGTTGAGGAGAATATTTAGACCTCATAAGCTGAAATAGGGGCGGGGGATGGAGAAAGGAAGGAGATTCAAAATCTGCACCATTTACCAAATATTAAATCAATAATAATATGATAGGCAGAGCCATAGAGCTCGCATGTGGGAAGAAAATGCATCACTGTGATTGCAAAATCTCAAGAAAGGGATCACTTGGAGGAAACAAAGGTCGCTGAGAGAAAATATATCTTACAATTACATGCGTAAGTCAATGGTAAGTCCATTTAGCATGCACATCAAAACGCCAACTACTGAAAAAAGAATCGTGTTATAAGGTACATCAGGAGTCTAACATAAAGTAACCTAACCTACGATAACTTGACCTAATTTCTGGCTGAGTCTTGTGGAGGAACTGTTTCAACTTTGCCGATGCAACTGCAGACATCTGTGGTTAAATAAAGTAATTACATCAAAGCACGGTGCCACCAAGCAAGTCATCGTCATGTTTTATAGATACACACAAAACGTATTTTAAGTTTCGTACTGAAATATCATATTTTTTCAACTTCGGCTATTGTGAATATAATACTGCAAGTTTTCAATTTCCGCAAGAACAGCGTTTGTCATCTTCAGGGTAATATTTACTCAGAAGATGGTAACAGCAATATTTGTCGAAACGTTGACGAACTTTAAAAAATTTCTACGTTGCTTATATCCGAAGGCCGGAGCTGTGTACCCTTAACCGATGATTCTATAATAGTGACTACACCTCAGAAGTTTTCCCTACCAAACTGCATTCCATAGTTTAACTGTACCTGCCACAAGGGGCGTCCTGGCATGATGAACTTTCCTGAAGATGACTGGTGCTTGCTGCTGCTGCTGAG